AAGTGTTTTTGTACTGTTCTTTACTTTTTGTTGTGCATTTCAAATATTTTTTTCTAAATGGAAGTGCATTAGTGCCGTATACTGCCGTGGTAGTGATATCAGCAATAACTCCATTTTAATCGGAAAAAATATACCTAAGCTCTATATCAGATGAGCTGACGGTAGTTTTTTAACAGCAAAATATTGGAGTTAGTTCTGATATTGCTAGCACGGCAGCATAAGTGTATGTACCTCACAAAACGTCAACCGTAATTACACTATACCTCCATACCTAAATCATCCATCTGGCATAAACTCTACCAACCGATAATCACCCTAATCGCAATCACAAAACACACATACAAATCTTAAGAATAGATTACTCAACGTCAAGGCATAAAATCATAATTTCCCTTATCACATTACGGGCGCGGTGACCGCGAGCGATCACGGCCGAACAGAAGCGCCGCGGCCGGCGGCGTGCGTGTGCGCAGGTTAAGGGCGGTGTACACTGTGGATGAGACTAATTTTTATGATTTAATTTTAATTAAACAACTTTATCGGTCACACAAAGAAAAAAGCGGTTCAAAAGGCGAACTTATGCCATGTGGCAATCTCTCCCAGCTAACCTTAAGCAAAATAGAGAATTTGAGTAGGCGGTGCAAAATATTATACATACTAAAGTTTACACTAAGTAATATCCGAGTACCTAATATTTATGATGTATCACAGTATATTTTATAGGTGCTATTTAAAATATTCTGAATAATAAGTGCTGTCGATAACATCTTGAGATTCGAGCTTTGCTCCAAAATAGGTTCAGTAAAGCGGATAAATTGCATGTCATTTATAGATGGCTGAAATAGCTGAGCTTTATGATACTGTAACAACCTAAATGTACCTTTTTTCAAATGCAAGTAAGTCTTTTTTACATTATATTCACTTACACTTAAATTTTTTTGAAGTTAACTTATGTGAATGAAAGTTATTGCTTTTTTGTGATAGAGCAATTAAAATAATACGTTCACCTAAAGCTCAAGCTTTTAAGTTACATCTAAAAAGATGTTAAGACACTAATTAGACAAACCACAGCTTTAATATTTTAATAAATCAAAAGATAGATTCAACAACTCTACCGTTTAAAAAAATCTATACCGAATAATCAGTGTAGACGTGCCTCAGTATTTCACTCCTTTTGTCAGTACAAAAGGAGTGAAATACTGACAGTTATGCGGCCACTGGCGGCTTCGTTCGACCGCCTATCCCGGTAACGAGTCTCATTCTCTACTAAATGCTTTTATGTTAGAATAAGCTAAGGAATAAATCAAATACGTACACGTTATTCTTTGATGCAGTGTTGAAAAACAAAAGCACGATGATTAAACGAAGAAAAAAACAATTGAAATGGTACTGGCCAGTGTTTTTAAAGAACATGCGCAGACGTCTCTTTGTCAGACTACGTTTTGTGCTGTAAAATAACACTAATAACAACTACATTAAAATTTAAGTTGCCAGTATTAGCATGTTATGAACTAGGACACAAAAAATAATTATGAATAAAAATAAAATAAAAGCAATATTTACGGGCAGGGTTTCCCAAACTATGGGTAGCGACCCAGTAGTGGGTCGCGAGCGGACATTGAGTGGGCCCTGCCTGTAGAACGACACACCACCCCACCTATCCAACCGCTGGGCAGCTGGGTCCCGAGTTTGAGAACTTGTATTAAATGAGTCGTAGCCCAGACAACTTTGGGAACCACTGATTACGGGGATCTTTGACAAAGGACAATGTTCGTTCTCCATACATTGTTCGCCTAAAGAACCAACAATTTTGACATATTACTACCCGAAAGCGAAATAATACGATTCTGTGTGTAAGAACAATGATTCCTGATGGACACTTGCCATAAAATTAATGATTAAGAATATTAAATCACAGCGATTTTATAATATGTCGTTTATGACAACATGGCGTCTAATGTATTGTGTGAATGTATGAACACCGATTCGCGAAAAATGTTTTGTATTGTCGTCACGCCGAGTCGCAGCCAAATAGTATAAAATAATAGAACAAGTTTTAGAAATACAACTCGGCATTCCACTTTTACAATATGCCCACATATTGCACGTAAATAAACAACATGAATCGTAGGTTGTTTCCACCCTTGTCATCTGACACATGAAATAAACTCCTATTGTATTATAGATATCGAAGCCGAATCGTATATAATAATAGAATGGGTTTTGGAGATCACTCGGGGTTCCACTTTTATAAAATACCTACATATTACATAAAAATATTCAACATCGGATTCTGACACTTTTACAGTTATGATACCATGAATATCAGTTTATGGTCCTAATTATTTTTATTTTATTTACGACCTTCGACCAGTTGGACACTTTAGATATCTTCTTGTAATAGTGTCAAACTGTCAATATCTTTTTAGCTTTTAACGCAAATCTAGTCTTCAAAGCAGTTTAATCGATTTATTTTATTTTCAAAATCGATATTTTATTGTCTATGATGGCCGCAGGAACATCACTATACATGGACTCCCAGCAATAAAGTACGGTAATGCCTCGTACAGATTTTATCGGCAAAAATTATGGAACTTGATAGGTTTTAGACCATGCCACGCACCAAAACGTCCGGAAGTTGTAATAGTATTATAGAATAAACGTTAAAAGACTTATTTATTTAATTTTTCAATGCTTAAGTGTCCATTAGAATGAAAGGGTGCTTAATGTATTAAAAAAAATAGAAAATAATTATGATGGGTTAATGTTTTTGGGCGGTTTTTTAGGCGGTTTCTGACAATGTCCTTTAATATTTTCCTGTATCATCAGGATTTAATAATAAACACGTCTTTTCCGGTCCATACTCCAAAATAGCAGGAAAATACAACCTTATGAGGTATTTACAATACTAATTTTGTATCGAAATAAACGTAACAGGAAATGTGCCAATTAAGAGTATTATTAATAGGCATTCGTTAACGCTATAATCAATATTTAGATAAATAACGCAAAAGTTTAAATATTAACTGTTGTTTAAAAAATCCACCCTATACATTTTGCACAACACAGGGTGTGGGACAAAAAATTTTGCGACAAAGAACTCCAGACGGTCCCAATTTATTCAGTCCCGGATTAACGGGACAACGATTTATGGGGTTGACAATCGGGACACAAAAAGGCAAAGGATCTTTATAGGCTTTAAAACAGTTAGGCACATTTTTGCTAAGGTTTTTGGTTTGTTTTTTGGATTGCCCATTTTAGAGGTCTCTTAGTTTGGGGATATCACCATAAAACTCTGGGTTAATGAAAGTAAGTTCTAGTTCGAATACTAGTTTTCAATTTAAAAAGAACTTAAGAATGCTAAAAGTATCATTATTTAATCCAATCTCTGAGTCTTTCCGTCAAGTGTAGGTATTATTGATGTAATAAAGGCTATTATCCTATAAGAAAATATAACGTGGACATACAAAAGCATTGAACGAAGTCGCAGGTTAGTTAAATTATTAAAATGTAGTCTACATTTCCAATTTCCTACTTCGAACCGAAAGCTTTTACACCCTATCGTTTTCTATAATGCAATTTGTGTGTAAGAAAACATTTAATAGATATTGTACAATTATGTACGCATTCAATTGAACTAAACAGTCGCGTGGAATTATACAGTCACGACCGAACAAATACAGACGATTCTGAGCCTTGTTGAAATCACTTAAGAGCAATAAGACGTTTCATTCCATTTGGGATCGTATCAAGCGAAATAACTCGAGTGCAGTATGCATAAGTACATTATCATAACATGATGTAAATTGCGTGCATTTCTCTAATCGCACCCGTCAAAGATTATGATAATAAAGTTTGTAGATATGCAAAATGAGATGGAACAAGATCACTTGTAAAAACATTTATTTTAGAAACTCTGCCCATCTGCTTGTTGATCCAATTAACTTACCTAACTAGATGTTAAGAACTAACTTAAGAATTTAAAATTGATTTTACAGTTACTAACATCTACATTTCTGAACATTTATACATTAAAATGTTGACTGTTTTTAATAATCATCATCATCATTTTAACCATAATAGGACGTCCACTATTGAACATAGGCATTTCCAGATTAGCCGGTTTTAGGTAAATTTTTCGTTAAAAGATCTAAAAGATATTTTTGTTACTTTACGGTTAAAACAGTGAAAGTTTTTAAATCTAAATGTTTGTCTAACAAAACAAAGAATCGCTATATTCAACCTCAATCAACATTTACCGATAACAACCCGCACAATCCAATTTTCAATTGCAAACTCCGCGTTTATTTTCTCTCTAAATGCAATGGCATATCTGCGTCGTTTGATCCTTAATCTATGGATCTTAGTTAGCTTTCAACTAACCGCCAGAGCGGAGAGGTTATGCGTAATGACGTGAAAATTACAACAAATATGAACGCGGTGGACGGAGCCGCAAGATTCAATCCGCCGTTTTGCAATTAATGGATGAGATAGAAGGTTAAGTGGGATTTACACGGATCGTTTATCCTGGATTGAGAGCTGTGGAAATCGGAGGAATAGGATTGAAAAGCGGTATAGAAGTTGTTTTGTATTTCAACATGGTGAAAGCTTTTGTCGGGAGCTATTAGCAACTTTTTGTTACAACTCTATGTTCTGACCATCCAATTCTTAATGCCAATAGCAATAAAGAATAATTGGGTGTACTTACCTACATATTATATTCCCTAACTGATCAACATGATTTAAAGGTTGGTCCTAGAATATGGCGTGGACTTTATAAATACGCTTTGAAAGTATGTATTTCTTTAAATATCGATAAAATCTGAGTGCAGTTTATAAACGACCAAGAATGGCTCACTAAAGTTGATAGCTAGATAGTTCTAAGCGTATTGAAGTTTCCAGAAACTGAATATGATATTAATTCTATTCTAAACGACATTAAGTACATTTTGAGATTGCTATTTTGTAACAAAGTTTAATTTTCTGTCTTTTTGTTACAGATTCGACACCGATTCGGACTGTTCGACGAAGTATGCTCGTCGGGCGGTGTTCAAGTAAGACATTGCAATTGGGTGAGGTTTCTACGGGTCTCGGAGAACTATGGGCCACAAGTAAGCTTTTTATTCAAAACTTTCTTTATTTTCGTCACTTTGAACCGTAGCAAATAGGCAAAGCAAACTTTTTTCGTAATTTAATTCCAGGAACTTATTGATCTTTTCCTGCTTAAGCCTAGACGCAGACCACCGACTTTTTGTCAGCTGATAGTTGGGTCGGGCTGTTAATCAGTATTAAGTCTGGTTTTCTGGTTTCGGGCTGGAAGACGTAGCGTGGGCAGGCCTCCTACTAGGTGGACCGACGATCTGGTAAAGGTCGCGGGAAGAGCCTGGATGCGGGCAGCGCAGGACCGTTCATAGTGGAAAACCTTGGGGGAGGCCTTTGTCCAGCAGTGGACGTCATTTGGCTGAAACGAACGAACGAACGAAGTCTGGTTTTAGTGTCACGCGGACTGTCAGTGCGGATCGCTCCGCACAGCCGATCTGTATGAACTGCTAGGGAGCGGAGCGGTTCCTCCGGACCGCATTACTCTAAAACGCCGTCGACGTCCGCACCGGACGGTCCGCGTGACACTCAAACCAGCCTAAACGTATATAGAAGTGCGCACACTATACCGGCCGGTTCGACCCAACTATCAATCGACTAAAACTCAGTAGTCTGTGGGGATTCTAAAGGATTCGGGACTATTCCCACCTCTCGTTCCCACCGCTGCAACTCCTGTGTAGCCAGGATCTACAGCTTGACCGCCAATAAAATCCCCACCAGTGAAGGTTAAGTTTGTCCCGGGGGAAAGTTAAACTGTCATTGGACCCTCTTATCCTAATTACCCAATATCAATTTAATATGTAAATTATAATGTAATTTCTTATTTGTACAGGTAAATTTAGTCTGCACAAAAATCAAGGGCGAGCCAGTATACGAGGCGGTCAAGCCAGTATCAGCACATACAGAGCTGGTGGTCTACTACCTCCCTGAAAGACCTGAAGAGATGTTCTTCGTAAGAATGAGGAACAACCTGTATAGGCAAACCATGGACTCTATATTAGAAGGTAAGTTTTTGTACTTCTTCTTCTTCGTCACTACACTCTTGGCAGAGTGGTCGTGGTTGTCACGTTCGGTAGCATGTTTCAAAATCCGTATGCTTTGGTGCTTAGAGCATAGATTTTTATTGGAACTACTTTTAAAAGGTACACTTAAACGTTGAAGTCTAAAATTTACTTAATTCGTTTACTTGTGCAAGTAAGCATTTGAAAAGTGATTTGATAAAAAAGTAGCTTAAAGGTACTGTAGTAAAGTTATTAGTACATTTTTTATAATGCTCAGTTCACACACATAAAAATGTGATAAAGAATTAAATAATGTGACCGATGGAAATGTACGTTTAAAGCCGTCAACGAAGCTTTCATTTAGGTAGGTAATATACAAAATACCAAAACTGATGTGCGTTAACTATACGCAAAATGGAAAAAAACAACTGAAAGTCGTAACCACCATTGATGAAAGTTTTCTTTTATATGCGCACTAAAACAATCAAGATTATAATAAAAAGAGTACAGACAGATGCTATTATTTAACGCGATCGGGAGAAAGTGGAGCAATTGGTTTAAAACTGCACGTCCGGTATTTATGGCCACCATAACATTATTAAGTTAGATGGTTATAATAGACCGTGCCTGTATAAAAATTGAGTAGTCTAAATAGTTCACACACAACATCCCAACTAGATCGAACTAGTACAGTTTAAGTATCATTTCCGATATAGGACGCCCAGTCACTGTTTGGACATCTTGGCCTTCCCCAAACTTAAACACTTACAAAATGTTTATTTTATCGAGGAAGCCTGTGCGTTTCCATAAAAATTACAAAAAAAATAGCCCAGTCCTAAATTTTAGCCTGTGTACACTAAATAGGAATTCAATGAATACTACTTCAGTTAACTTTTAATATGTGGCGTTCGGTGACTTTGTATTTCTGAACGCACCTCAAAAACTTGTCTTGTCAAAATCTGACATTTGACAGACCATTTTTCTCGACCGCCACTACTTTTGGCGCCTTGGTAAAACAACGCTACCATCCGTTGATTTCTGTGTAAATACTCGTAAAATACATCACAACTCGCCGAATAACACTTGTGTATACGCCTCGTTAACCAGTGCCATCGCTATACAATCACATGTACGTGTCCTCGTTGTGTAAACCACCTGCTACTGCTGTTTACAATATACACCGTGTAACACTAACCGGAGTTTGATTCGGCTCGGGGAGCGCCGCCTCATCAATCCCCAAAAATAGAAGAATGGATTACTCTCAAATTAATGGGTCATGATAAAAAACGTATTTGCCAGAAAATTTGTGAATCTATAAAAATACTCTTAAATAAAAAAGTACTTCGCAATGGCATTTACAAAGACGCATCAAATCTGGCACGTTCTTTCAAACTGAGCTAGCTGTTCACTTTTGGGCATGGCTCATCAATTGCTCCAAAATATTAATCGGCAGCATAACTGTTGAATCAATGGAATTTGGAATAAATGGAATATTTCCAAATATCTTAGATTGAGTTATTGGTAATGGTAGTTAAGCAAAAATAGTGTTCATGTAAAAAAAAATAAACTAAATATTTTAGGACGGACTTGAAACTCTTCACCAATATAAGGGTTTTGCTTGCGGATTTTGCAGTTTTGGACCTCACAAAAAAAGAAGTATACTTAGTGAGCAAATAAATAATATGAATATGAATATAAATACGAAATAGACAGCCGTCAGACAGTTGAATCTGTAACATCATCATCATCATTTCAGCCATAGGACGTCCACTGCTGAACATAGGCCTCCCCCAATGACTTCCACATCGCACGGTTGGTAGCGATGTGGTAGCCTGCATGAACCTGCAACAAAGAAATTGTATTTCATGCGTAAATATTTCTAGACTAAAACCTAATTGGCTCAAAAAAGTAAAAATCTCAATGTATAGGTAAAGTTCTAGTGACTTAGATTAAAAACAGAACCAGAATAACCACTGGAAGTGCTAATGAGAGAGTATTTATGGCTATAATTACTTTATAGCTAAAATTACCTAGATCTAGTCTGGTTTTCTTACTGTAATTCAACTTCTTAAGCCGGGTTTATTTTATTAACTTGTCATTGGCGTTTTTCAATTTAGTTTCAATCAATATTTAATAATAGTAATAAAATTGTTTCTATCTATGAACTGAACCGACATTGATGAAATTTGGCATAGAGATAGTTTGAGTTACTAGCAAAGGACAAAGGATAGTTTTTATCCCGGTTTTTGAAACAGGAACGCGCGCGATACAGTTTTTCTGTGACAGACAAAATTCCACGCGGGCGAAGCCGCGGGCGGAAAGCTAGTACTAAATATTTGGTTTAGGCTAGCCCATAAGTAGAGTCACATCAGAATTCATCTTTTAACCAAACCAAAACCAATAGTCAATATCGTAAAAAATAATGGGCATGTGGATCCTAGCACTAAAAATCTTCAAATTATTTAAAGTTTTGAAATCGCCAATTATAAAAAACCATCCAGTCTTACAAATTAATTTCTGGTAACAGTACTTTCTCACACCTCAACTCATTAATACTTTGTTCAATAAAATAATATAAAACTAAGTCCCCAGCGGCATTATCAAAAGTGTAGCAGATATAAAGTGTTTATACAGCTTCCGCTGACAGCGGCCCGGATCACCGATACGGCGATCGGATCTCGGGACGCAAACGACGCCGCGGTATCTTAGTAAAGCCGTGTGTAGAGTGGAAATATTGCTTCCTTGAGTCGGTTGTATCAGGTTAAACTGTAGAGATGCAAAGATTTTTTGTTCTGGCGGTACGTTTAGAATGTCTCAAATCATTTGCTTTAGATAAATGTGGTAGAGCCTTATTTTTGCAAATTAAAACATTTGCAACGAATTATGCAAATTAAAACATTTGCAGATATATGTAGTTGGTCTTAAAGAGTAATTAGAGTAATTACTCTTATTACTGTGTCTATATTACGATTTTATCTTTGCACTTTTATTTGTTGTAAAATGTTCCAACCAGTTTCTGTTTTCCTTCATGTTTCCAAAATTTTTTTTAAGAAATTTCGATTACTTAATCCTCAAGAATATTACATACTTTTTAATATTTATGCTAAACTTCAAATTACTTCAAAAAATTAAACAGTGACTAAAAATTTTATATAGTAGGATCTCTAAATATTGTCAGGGATTAAAATATTATATTTATCGACCCTTAAACAGCCATACAGTCGCACCTTTACCGACGAAAGAAAAAAACAATTGCGAGGACCGACTACCGAACCGAAACGCCTGCGCAGCCTTTGTAGCGCCGCCCAGCGGTACTGTCAATTTGATCCTTATTACAGCGGAATAAATGCGAAATAAATGTTAGTGCCCGAGACTGTACCAGTCGGCATAGCAGATATCACCTAACGTGCGAATAGCGGGGTATTTTTTAATATTTTTATTCGATCTGTACTGTTATAAGGTCGATCTTGACCTTTAACGAGACTACTGGAGCAAAATATCAGCAATAATGATCTGGGCTGTAAATTAATACTAAGTAATGATATACAAAAACAGCTTTTTGCAGAGATACTATAAATGCATAGGATCGGTGATATGCCAAACGCTTAAATAATGATATTTAAAGAGCAGCTATGATGATTAATTGGTAATTTATTTGAGTATTGACTGGTTGACTTTTAGCCACTTTTTGTGGAGTTGTAAGACATAGTAGTATCTCCAATATTTTGTATTGAAATGTTAATCGAAGCGTATTTCAGACGCAAAAATAAAACGAATGTTCATTCACTGACTTTTTCAAAATAGGATCAATATTGCGTTGAAAAGGAAATAACTTTGATCAAGTCGTTTATAAATATACGCAAGGAAGCGGAATGTGTTCTACGATTGCAAATAGAGTAGGCAAAGCCAAGCGCAGACAGCCAACTAGTGAGAGATGGTATCGTACCACCATCTGTCTGGTAGTCGCGCCATCGAGAATTTCCAACGGCAGATCTTGAAATAATAATATAACCTACCCCACTACGGATAACATATCTCCCCATCTGGAATAGAAACACGCGGCAACTAATTAATCTTTTCCATCTCATGACACATAGATTTATTACAAACCTCTAGATGCTGCAAACCCCGTAAAAGTTAAATTTTAGACTTCAGCGATAAGTAAAACGAAACATTAATTAAGACTGGTTCCGAAGATCTATAACAGGTCGTAATAAACATAAACTGTCTAGACCTCCATAACGAAATTTACGGTTGTAAAATATTGGCTCATTAAAAATTTCGCTTGATTGGACCGAGATATTTAATGTCAATAATTTGATCTGAATTATAAAAAGCGCCCACACAAACTAATCACCGTGAAATTTGCATGGTATAAGTTCCGACAGCGGTGTTTGAAAGCGAAGGAAATCTATTAACCCCTTTGATGTAGCGTCCGTGATCAATGGATTTGTTGATATAATTTGATGCATCTCCTTTGAATAACTTTGCATTTTTATTGGCGATCTTTAATGTTTGAATAATGTTTGAATTCTCACGCAGACTCACCGCTAGACCTGTCAACGTCGTTGCTGTCAAGAGTGCTGCTACCAATATCACCTCCTTCCGGTCCTGAGGATGAGCACAAGTCTGTTTCTGGAGACTCCTTGACGTCATCGTCGGCGGGGTCATCAAACGAGCTATTAGAAATGACGCCAAAAGTTCAGAGGAGGCCGGCGAAATCAGAAAGAGCTTTATTGCCATGCGAAGTCTGTGGGAAAGCTTTCGACCGGCCCTCGCTGTTGAAACGTCACATGAGAACACACACAGGCAAGTAGACAAACTTTGGGCAATTACACGTAATTACTTGAAACCCTAAATTTGGGGCTTATTACGTAATTAATATTCAACAGAAATGTGGAAGTTGATGTTTTAATGGATCAATTAGAATGTAATCCAAATTAACACGTCTTAATTACATAAATTTGGGCGCGTCCTCTACCTGTGTTAGTAAATTAAAATAATTGAATCTGGTCGATGTGACCGAATACGGGTTTTTAATGAAATAATTAACATTACGAAGTGATATTTACGTTTCTAAAGTTTACAAATATGGTAACAGATTAACATCTGCGATGCAAACAAACACGGTATTTTCCTTGCTCAAAATGGATGATTTAGATTATAAAAATGTAGTCAGAATTTTATGTTTTTATTTTTGAATTTCCTTACTTAGACGTTTTAAGAACACTTAGCAAAACTTTTATGAACTTTTTTTGCTAATGATCATGATTAAATTATATCGTTTTATTATATCACTAAATAAGGTGGAAGCGTTACCAAAATGAATGAATAAATAACCAATCATCATCTTCATCTCACTCATCTCGAAGTAAGACTACAAAAGTCATTTTTGGGGATGTCAACATACAGCCAGCGTCATATAGTTCGTGACACCCGAAGTAGCCAAAAAGTTCGCAACGCGTCTTTGTAACGAAGAATAAGGTTGTGTTCTCAAATTTTTGGCCACTGGGTGCCACGAACTATTTGAAGCTGACTGTAACGCCCGTATTAACAAACATTACTATGAAGTTTCATAGTGCGCAGGGTGACACATGAACCAATCACAGAGCTCTATTCAACGCTGTGCATTCGATTTGCCGCTTCACTGAAGCAAGCATCGTTTGTGTATAGGAGCGTATAAATACCTAACTTTGTTCCTCTTCCAGGTGAAAAGCCACACGTCTGCATAGTCTGCAATAAAGGGTTCAGTACATCCAGCAGTCTGAACACGCACAGAAGAATACATTCGGGAGAGAAGCCTCATCAATGCCAGCACTGCGGGAAGAGATTCACGGCCAGCTCCAACTTGTATTACCATCGAATGACGCATATAAAGGTAAGATACTTCTTTAACCTTTAACCGACGACGTGATTTTTTTGTCACGCCGTCTGCGACGTGCGGTCTGTGGGACCGCTATACTGTTTACTCAAAAATTTATATTTTTTTTGTATAAAAGTATATTGGTTTTATATTTTTTAAGAACATTATAGTATTACAAATAAACATGCGTATAATTTGCGAGGAATCAATGTATATTTTTTATTTAAATATGGCTAAAACTTTTTTGACCCTTAATTTCATTGAAATTACACTAGAGCTCAATAATACCTATATAACTTGTAAATTTTAATCAAAGCAAGAAAAACTATACTCCTTCCTAAATATAGTGAACATAATGAATAAAATAAAAATAAATGACACGTAAATTACATGCACAAAAAAATTGACGTAGGGTAAACATCAGGCAAAATCAGGACATTTTTTATCCGCATGCCAAGCATTTTCGGAATGCATAGGTAACACCTGTAAGATAATTTCGTTTTCAATTTAGGTGAACTAAATGTACGTCTTTTTTGCAGCTGGTGCAATGACATCAGGCTGATTTGGCATGTCAGAGCCTAGAATACATGTCACTGTTTGCTTTACCACCCGTTCCGCGGTATTTTTTTACAGACTACCATCTATTACATAATATTATGTTCAAATATCAATATATCATTAGGAAATGTCTTTTCCTAGGTTGTGGTGGCCCAGGATCCATCATTTTTACGAAAAATTAGTCGTCTAAAACAAAAACGCCAGTTTCAGTATGGTACAAAAATGTCACGTAGTCTGCGACGTGCGGTCCCACAGACCGCTGTGAACTTTAAATCGAATTATCTTATTAAAACTGCCCTCGGCAATGTAACCACTACCTGTAATGGCGTTTGGGCAACTAAACTCGAAGGTACTGAGACGCTCGGGACACGGGAGTAAGTAGAACATTGCAATCCAGAAATTTCAAAAACCGGAGCGGTCTGTGAGACCGCACCTCGTCGGTTAAAGGTTAACTTAGGGGCTCCCTACTTGGTGAGAGAAACTTCGACAATGAGCTCGAAAGATGCCATGAAAGGAAGAAGAACTACTAATGGCTTTTTCTTCTCCCACATTAACAAATCTGAATAAAATCTTGCGGATTACTGAATCGTCGTCATTTCAGCCACTACTGAATAATTCTTCTTCCAAATAGCATATTTAGAATGTTACTTGTTTGCCCTTTATTATCGAATCCTATAACCACGAATCGTCGAACTCGACTGCTTTTATAACCGGCGTTTTTTGAATTGCGATCTTCTTAATCTAGTAATTCTAAATGGTGCATACAGGACCTTTAGACAGACTTAAGGGGTGCTTACTTAGGATCCTGAAAAAATGTTTTGTTCAGGAGTTAGAAATCAGTAAAGCTCAAGAAACAACGAGTACATCACTAATATGTATAGTCACACAGAACTATTTTGTTTGTACGTGTCAGAATTCAGCTTCAAACCACAATTTTCCCAGTGATGTGATTCACCTTTTGTTCCACACACAATATAGTTCACACAATGCCATATAGTATGATGCGCATCGGCCCGGAAAAGTCATGCGTCTTGGACGGCGTGGGAAGCACATACAGCTACCAAAAACACATAATGAACCTTATCGTATAGAAATAAGGGGCAGAAATAGTTGCATTTTTTGCGCAGTTTGTAAAAACTTAATATTTTCAGAGCCACGTCATATAGTGGTGCTATAATAGTAATTGTAAGTTATTTAATTATGGTGAGAATATAATTTTTTCGTTTGAATCTCGTAGTGTTTCATCATAAGTATTCATTTATATCTCAAACCATTTTGCATATAATAAATTGGAAATAGTCACAGGTGAATATCTTTCCTTCTCTAGTAGTTTCATCTCATACCAGTAAGGCACAGAACAGACGGTTAAACGCAACTGCAACGAAACTGCAACTGATAGTTACTTTTGAGTTGCATCTAAGTTTCTGCCATAGCGTCCGTTGAGAAAGCACACATGACGCGACCATTTTGAAACTTTCAGTTTCATTCAGAAGAATCATCAGAAAGTTGCAGTTTCGTTGCAGTTGCGTTTCACCGTCTGTTCTGGGCCTAAGAAACAAAACAGTTCCTGAAACTAATTGAAATTGCTTGCTAATCTAGAATCTCTTTATGTTACAATTATTTTAAGACATTTAAATATATTTTTTTACAAAATACTTAAATCTATCTAGAGGGAATACCTATTTTATTTTATTTTATTCAATAAGTACACATACAGGTTAGAATCTTAGCGTTTATTTCAATACCGCAACACTACTATTGCTTAATATTATCTTTTTTCAATTGTTTATTATCACCAACGGTAAACCCTTAGAGAAAACTTATCATGTTAGTTGATAGGTAAATCGTAATGTTTGTAAGAAAACTATAATAAATTCATCCAGGAATCAATGGATCATCAACTATAATAATACCTCAGCTTAATTAAACGGTGCACAAGAAAATCGTAAACACTATCACAATGCTCCAGTAATGTGTCGGATAATTGCCCCTTACCATGCAAACCCCATGAAATATGCAATATACTATTATTAACCCATCGCTTACCTAATCACGGAAAGAATACACCATGGGCATAATTGCTTTACAAAACCATAAAAAATGGTTATCCTTGATGAAAGACAATGGTCTGTTATACAGTTTTTATACTGATAATTCACATGATTCTTAGGTGTATATCCTTTTGTATCATATTATGAACCGGTTTTATTGTTTTAATGCAAAAAGTACTGAAATTACGCGGTCGGCTTATAGCGAGATGTATTGTATAGTAAATAATGAAGTATTGAATTGACGAGCATTAAACGCTGGTTATTACTCGTATATTGAATAGAGAGATTAAAATGGGTTATTAAAAATTATTTCAGTGTTACGCAAGTTCTTTGCAAGCAAGTGCCTGTGGTTCTTAGGCTTGGTTGCACCATCTTATTTAAACCATAATATTAACAATAACCGGTGCTTTTTATATGGGGTTTAACAGATTTTTGACGTTTGTCAAAGTTAAAGAAAGATGGGGCAACTCAGCCTTAGTTTGCGATATGTTCGAGTAAATATCAAAGAGAAATAGAAGACGTGGGGAAAGTTATAAAAATACCAGCACATTCCTGAAAAACAAATAGAAACATAAATCAAAGGAAAGATTTTGATTTCCTTTTTATATCCAGGATGAAAATACAGAAGCATTAATAAGCTTTATGGAAACTTCGTGTTTTCATGAAGTCTTTTTTCAGCTTCCACTTCTTTTTATCGTCAAAATAAACAACATTTTGTAGGTATCATTCATCTTATGTTATAAGATCATAACTAAATCTAAAACTACTTGTTTTCGTTAAATCAAAGTGATTTAAACCCGGCTGGATCTAACTTCGCATAACAAAGCCTAAAAACATAATTACCACATAAGCGTATTAATAAGTACAGTACACACGATTTACATTTTCTTAAGTGCTATACTACGGGTCGGTAAAGCTTGGCACATTACACGGTGATGTTACCGTGCTCAGTTCCCATAACGCCCCACCTTAAGTTTTTACTTATTTAACTATGACCTCATGTGTCCGCGACTTAAGAAAATCACACAGTGGACAGGGTTGGCGCTAATGTCTTGAGACGATTTGATGAATTTTCTTTTTTGATAGAAAATAATCAGTTTTAAAAATGGGATACAGTGAGATTGTGACGTGAAGTGCATGCAACAGTTGACAGTGGAGCATAAACTAACGTAAGCAACTGGAAACGTTTAGTGTATCTCATAACTTATTATGAGTCTTAAGTTACATCAAATAAACCTATTTAGTCGAAATGTCAAATTAAATGAATAAGCACTTCGCACTGTCTTGAAAACCACAATTTCGCGACCATCTTAATTTAAACCATAAACGTCATAAAATAAACTGTTCGTAAAATGTATGTAAAAACAAATAACAATAGAGTACCTATTCTTTAATTTGACTTCATAGTCATGAATCTGTATTGGTTACCAATTGGACCAATACAGATTCATCTTAAATTAAAAAACCTTAATCAATGACTTCCTCCATAACTTCTACAAACCTCAATATATCTCCGCCCACAACCCTAGGTCCTTAGTGCACCTGCGGTCACTTATAGTCAGTAATAAATAACACAGGGTCAGGTCAACGTGGGAACACTCCTGCGCATGGGAGCGTGACGAAGGAGTTGTCAATACGAATTGGTTCGCTGGCTCCTTGGATCGTGGGCGGCGAAGACGTATGGCTTATAATTTGATGAAATGAAGCTTTGAAATTGAAGGAAAAGTATTTTTCTTATGTAGTTTTGTGCTACTAAAAGTGGTACCTACAGAACATAGTTAAATAAATCAGAATATAAATTATCATCACTATGATACCATAAAGTGAAGAAAGGTAATCATAATAATTACCTATGTTAGAGCTTTTTCATTGTAATTGAGCTTGAGCTCACTCACTCAACTACATCATGGTGTACTCTTATAGCCAAGAATCTTTCAAAATTTTCAAAATCATCGTATTGTGCCAGTCAAAAAATAAGATTAACTTGGATTGGGGTAATCCCAAATTTTCATTGGAAAATGAGAAATCATTGATTTGAGTTGACAAGTTGACATTTCCGAAAAACAAATCCGCGCTGCGCAAACGTCAAAAACAATCGCACGTTAATCTTCATCTGTCATATTATAGCAAAACACGTGTGATACTCTAACGAACCTCATCTCGTACATGGTTCACGCACAACGTGTGAAGTCACGGTCTGCTGCACAGTCTTCAGGTATCGTCTTCGTGCCGCTGTCTGGGCACGCGTGGGAAATACATTTTTGGGATCCTCAAGCGTGTCGGGTCAACAAAGGGTATGAGTATGGTTTAAGACGTAGGGCGTCACTTGCGTTAGGGACTAGATTTTGAGAAAGAGTAGATTATTTTAGTGATTGTAAAAATTTAAATTCATAAAATTCATTTATT